CTCTAAGCAATGCGTGTATCCACGGAAGTAGAACTCGCTCGTCGAGTAAAATTAATACTGAGTGCTGTGTCGCGTCTATCTTTTTCCAGACATCTAGTCTCGGCTCACGGTCGCCGACAACTTTACGCCGCATTTTGCGTTCTCATCGAGGCGTAAGACGTCGAGTGAAGAGAGAGAAAACCCGGGAAGATCGACAACGCGAGCAATTTGCTCTATGTTTAGCAAAGTATCTTAAGTGGTGATATTTTCAAAACATAATTACGGAAGTGTATGTCAGATCAACAGATAAGATAAACCCTTAAGAATTGTATTCCATATATAACATATCTTAATAGTTAAGAGAGAAACTAACAAACATTCTCAACGCAATGCAGGCGGTACCATCGCAGACAGTCGGCTCGTTGCGCATACGAGTCCAGTTCTTCGCGCGGAAACCGCTGTCGCGGCTTTTTCCTGAGAACAATGGTCGCCGGTGGTATCATTTCCGTAGGCGGGAAAGCGCGTTACAACTACTGCCTCCCCCATCTCGGTCTTCATTCGCGACGATTCTACCATTTCAATTCTCAGTCAATACGAAAGTCTCTCGGATGCTTTATGAAAAGGAACTCCGAGCTTGTGGGATATTATCGAGAGAAAAGCCGCCGATAAGATTTTGTCAATTTTCAAAAAGATAATCGCTCTCGAAAATTTAATGCAATTTACAAACGATCAAAATATTAACTAACGATATATAATAATTAATATCGCAACAGGAATGCGCAGATCCGCACATTCTCCGCGACATGTCTGAGTACGAGCACTTGACGAGATGCAGGAACGCTCGGATGGTACCAATATATACTTGCTGTTCTATTTTCTGAATAGCCACTCAAAGTAGACACGTCAAGATGCTGTCACTCAATGATTTATAAGTTCGTCCACAACCGCCACTCGGCGTTTCTCTCTTTAAAACCCGCGCGGATCGTCACCCATTATCGACACAAAGTTCGCTTTTGTGAAGGTAGAATAGAAAAAGTATGCCCTCGAACATACGATATCAAGGTCGTAATCATTGTGTTCACCCGCCGGTCGAAAAGATGGGCAAAAGGCATAGTGGTCGAATGCGGTCCTAGTTAAATGTCATGAGAGGCCTATCTCGTTCCTTACGTCATTAAAGCACAAACAAGGACATATGCTAAAATAAGATAACGGGGTAGAACGGAGCATTTTCATTTAGAAACGCGTGTTACAAACTAAATAAATGAGAATAAATGCGAGAGATGTTTAGTCTTTTGATAATACAGCCTGATTACATGTGAAAGACGAGGAAACGGTCGGATAAAACGCGCAAGTCGAAGCCAAACTAGTTGGTTCTGTCATCGAGAACGGACGAATGAACAGGACGTCACATGACGCACGTGCGCAAAACGACGTAGCTATTTTCTCTGACTTGGCTATACTCGAAAATAGTAATGCTTTAATCACGTTTCATTCGAGTGCGACTAGAGACTACAAAGTAATTCACTATTTGAATTCTACAATATTCTGCATTTAAATCGATATAAAATGATTGATAGAATTAGTCATTACAGTCATTTGTTACGAAAGAACAAATGTTAAAAAAGTGAATGTCATTAGAATACGTTGTATGTTGAATATACAAATAGTAATAATCTTAAGGATTAATAACAATTATATTGTGCGATTTTTTTATAAATGCGTAATAAAAGAAAATAAAAAGATTAAAAAATTTTTTCTTATAAAAAAAAAATGACAATTCTTTAATTTTTTTCAAGATTTGCTGCCGTTACTAAAATAAATTTTCTTAATTTTGTAAGTATGTAACATTCGTGATAAACATTCATGGCAAAATTTAATTTTATGTAAAAAAAAAGAAAAATACTAATTCAAACTGCAACAAGATCACTTTGTTTGCAAATCATTTTTTCATTCTAAGAAATGAAAAAAGTTGATGAAAATATCTGACATAAAAGATAGATGCTTTATAGGAAGTTCCGCAATGTCTTTTGCATGATTACATTTGAAATCTTCAGTAACTTGGAGGAATCGTGCAAAACTAGGAAAATTTTCTCAGAAGGAAAATCGTGCGGAAAAAGTGCGACGACAAAGCTAAGCGGTACAAATCGGGAGTATGCTTCTCAAGAGTTAACATTTACTACATAATCGAGATTAATCTCTCCGTAATAACCGCATTACGGAACGCGGGCATCATAACCATTTTATAAGAAGTCTCACAAGAATTCTTTGTGAACTAATGTTATTAACGTCCACAGGAAAGTTCGTTTAAACGTCGTATAAATACTTGGAAAGATATTTTTGATCCTATCTTACATGTACTTACAATTATATTGATATAAATGCGTAGTGATGCAAACCTTGTATTCTCTTTTTGAGTACCAATATTATAGATTATAGGAGAAAAATTTACAGACTTCCATTTTTAATAGATTACATACCATATGACTCATACTAATAAGAGAGTGTTAGAGAAACGAGGAACGTTAACGATCGCGAGTGTAAGTACAGGTTTGATTCTTAAATAAATATAAGTTACGCACAGATCTGAACTATATAAGGGAATTTTAACCACAATCGGTATATCCTACAACGTTCATTTAAACGTATTGCATCATCAGTTTAGTGTTTCGTGGTTTACAGTTGTGTAAAGATAAAGAAATAGAGTCACGATATTCCCGCGGCGGCAGGCCATGGGCATCACGTGTATTGAGAGAATAATAAAGTCAATAAGCTATTCGGTGTTGCTCATCTACATACTCAGGCATATTACATAATATCGTGGCAGCGGTACTAAACTAACATTTGACAAGTTTTTTCTCTAAATTTATAACTTGTTAAACGAGAATAGTGCGAACAGTCTGAGTAACGCATTGTGAGGTTAAAATAACTGATGCTACGCATATACCTTTGCTAGAACGATTTCCGTTCGATAATTCGACTTATTGAGATACATATAAGGCAACATTCGAGCGATACTGTACAGTGGCTGGCGTAGTAGAAGAAAAAATCAAGGTCAATTGTTTGCTGTATGCAATGGGACCAAGGTACAGGAAATCTACAATTCATTCACGTGGACATCGGAAGGAAGCAAGACTACTTATTCGATAGTGGCAGAACAATTCACAAACTACTTTAATAGGCGCAAGAACATTATCTATCAACGAGCGTTGTTTAATCGCCGAGTGCAAAAAATAGGAGAATCTATAGACGATTTCATTACAGATTTGCATAAATTGGCTTAATTGGCTAAGGATTGTAATTACGGAATTACTCGAGAAGAAATGATTCGTGATAGACTCGTAGTCGGCGTTCGTGATATGCGTCTATCTGAAAAGATGCAGCTACAGGATAATCTAGATTATAAGAAAGCTATAGAAACGGCCAGAAGCTATGAAGCGGTGTTATGGCAAAATCGCAAACTGCACGAGAGGGCAACATCCGACATCGGCGACAAATCCTGGAAGTTACTTCTGCGGAGGGAGCAAACAACACAAATAAGAGTCATGTCTCGCACGGGAATCCACATACAATAAGTGCAATAAAGCCGGGCACTGGGCTAAGAAACGTATGTGGACCATCGGGAAGGACAGGATGCCCCTAATAAAAAAGGAGGAAGTGGAGAAGATTCATTTGGAGCCAACACAAACAGCGGTACTGATACGCCGCGAAAACGCTCAAATCCAATGACAGAAGACCAACCACGATGAGAAACATTACACGACGGAGTCCAGTAAGCTCAAAGTAGGGGACGAGGTCTGGATCAAAGCTATCAGAATGCGGAGTGATAAAAGAAGTACGTAAGGAACCATGTTCATTCATAGTAAATGCACTAAAGGCGATTATCGTGGAACACGGTCACAGCTAGTCAAACTGTCACTCTGCGAGAGCAAGAAGCAAGATGGTGGCAATCATTCGGAACAGGTCAAGGACAGGATGCCCCAATAAAGGAGGAAGTGGAGAAGATTCGTTTGGAGTCAACACAAACAGCAGAAGATGCATCAGATCTTCGTCGGGAAACGCGTTCGGAAACTTGATTACTATCGTCCAGATCCGGGATTTAAGAAAAGCCCCTGTTAATACACACATCAACGCTCGTCTGGGGTTGTTTAATGAAAGGGGGATGTTATGTAAAAAAATAAAGTCACGATATTCCAGCGGCGGCAGCACACACGGCAGAGAGACAGAGAGTCAGTTAACGGCTGTACAAGCCATGGGCATCACGTGTATTGAAAGAGTAATAAAGATATAAGCTATTCGGTGTTGCTCATCTACACACCCAGACACATTACATAACAACAGTGATATTTCAAACTTAATGCATGGTAAATTTTATTTGCAAAATAAAACATGAAAATAAATTGAACAATTCTTTTTGTACTAAATTATATGACAATTTATGTTGTCAACTGATCCATTCATTCAATCTCGACTTTTCATTTACTAAAATAGAAAAATAGAACTAGATAAAATTCCATTAAAATAATTTGATCAAGCCATTGAATCTTTTATATATGTTCTCCAATTTAGATTTCTTTAGATTTTCATTAAGTATATTTACTTTATCGCACGTTACTCTCTAAATTCTCTGGAATGGAATCTCACTCTAAAGAATGAAAATTGAATCAGTATTGAAAAAAAGTGGCTCAATTTTCATCTTTAAGAATGAAATTCACTCTAAAAATTGTAGAGAGTACTCTTAAAAATTTGTATATTTTGAATTTTTATAATTTTCCTAACATTAATTAGCAAGATAGTGTATGAACATTCTAATACGAATAACATAACGTCAAAAATTCGCAATTTGTTCAACGATTGGTACAAAACTAAGAAATTCGAAATCTGCGTTTGCAAAAATTTATAACAAAACTTCCTTGCAGTTCCAAATGATATCGATAACATTTGTTAACATTTAGCGCGATGACGGACACACAAGTCTCTCTCCATTTGGTAGTATCTAAAAAAACGAGAAGTTGACAACTTACCCCGACATCAAAGGGTGCGGTTTCTTGTGGTTGCGGAGGACCTTGTTGTTGTTGCTGTTGTTGCGAAGGCGGTGGACCTTGTGGCGGCGGTGGGGCTTGCGCCCCGAAGAGTTGCGCTGCTGCGTGTGAATGCGGATGTTGTAGATGATGAGTCGGTGGTGCCTGATGATGCTGCAGATGATGCGGTGGTGCTGGAGCAAATGCTGCCATGAAATGTTCCTCATTGCCGACAACGTCAATCCCAGGTTTTAACAGAACAACGTTATTGTTTACCAATGCGGGACCAGCGTTCTTCTGAAACTCTTCTTCGCCCGGTGACGGTTGGCGACTTCCAGGTGTGCGGCTACAACATAAATGAAAGAATCAATCAGATTAAGTAAAAAATGTAGCCTAGCTAATTTACAAATTAAAATATATATTTTATAAAAAATAATTACGTAATAGTTTTATCTACCAGCTTTCATATGAATATTTAATAATAGTAAAAATATTTAATAATATAGTTAATAATAGAAACAAACCTAAAACCTGAACAAACGTAAAAACTGTAATTTTATTTTCTATATAAAAAAATTGACATAATTTTCCTAAGAGCGATTAAAAATAGCAACCATAAATGTCAAGGACCTCATTGTAAATAACAAACGTGCACGATATGCTCAGCGAGCATGAAATCTATTTTCAAAACTCTTCATTTTTTAAATATTTTTTTAAGATATCTTTTTTCAGATCTACCTTTTTCAGATTCTATCTTAAATTTTAGATCTAGACTAAAATTTACCAGTTCTCTTATAAATATTTAATTTTGTTAAGATTCTATTTAATAGAATCATTTTTTCTAGTTAAAGATAAATTTAGAAAGATTTATTTTCATTATGTTAAAGAGTTAAAAAGGTTCTAATTCGCTGAATAATTTCACGAAGAAATGTTAATCCAAGATTCCGCGTATACGCAATCGATTACATGTCGTGTAACGGTGTACTTTGCATAATGAGACGCACGTAACAGGAAGCAGTCCGCAGGTTAGACGACTCGTGTTACTGATTTCGTGAGAAAAGAAAGTATAATACTTGTGAACATCAACAGCGTCCGTCAACGATGGAGTTAAATGTCATTATTATAATAATACAGAAATTAATAACCATTCCCTTTGCTCGTATCATTTTCCTTTCGAATATATCGAGAAAATCCAAGTAAAACGCAAGTTTTTTTTTATTTAAATTTGAAATCCTTATAAGAAAAGTTAAAAAATCATCATCAGAAACTTCATGTAACTTTTTTCTCCTTTTTATTATTATGATATAGAAATAAAATTTAGAACTGCTTTAAAGCTCTTAAATATTTCGTAAAGATCCTAAATTACTGAAAAATTAATAAAAATAGAAATACTATATATGGAACGCAAGCGAATAGCGGATAGATACAACAAAATAGATAAACAATGTCGGTAACGTCGTTGTAGAATATGCTTTCTGTTGTACGCTACTGATGGCGCAACATTACTGAGACTCGAGTGAGGAGCTATCGCGAAAGGAAGCGAGAATATACGATATAATCAGCCGCGTGTAGAATATACCCTTGACAGCTATCATTATTTCGCTATTACGCTATTTCACCATGATAATTATAGTAGACGTAATACATTAAAAAGTTATATATCTCTACAATAGGATATAATAAAAAATATAATGAGAAATCATATTCTTGCTGCGCTCCATACACTTGTAAATTATTCAGCTGCTTATATCTAGTACTATTATAAATTCCTGTAATTTCTGTTCTAATTTGTTAACCCTCTTTCTAGATTACATATAATTTTTCCTAGAAAAGTTAAAGTAAACCATTAAAAAAATTAGTAGAAAAATAAAATAGATGTCAAAGATTAGTCTTCATTTAACCACTTTATCAAAATTTCAATTTTAAGATTAAGATAATTATAAGCTTTTCAAATATTGAAAAAAAAAAAATTAAAATTTAAATATCGGTCTGTTTGAAAAAAATTAAGCGATTGATTAGACATATCGTAATATTAAATTTAATATTAAATAGTTCGATCTGTAAAATAGAACTTACTTAAACCCTTTGTCGTCGTCTAAACCATTTTGGGACGCTAATCCATTACCCTGTGGTCCAGCATCATCCTTTGTGCTATCAAAGGGACTTGCTGAACCTTTTTCTTTTTCTTTCTTGTCTGCATCAGTATTCTGTGTATAAAAAAAATCAAAATGACAACTATATCGATGTACATATAAACATAAACTGATAACAAAAACTCTATACTATTATGTAGTACTCACCAATCTTAGAGAAACCATTCGTGGTTCTAAATCTTTTGGTGTAGTGGGACTCGATCCAAGAACGTATTCAACCATTTTAACTCCCAAACCACCTGTTTCGCTGCAAGAAAGAGAATACATTGTTAATGATATCGTTATCGGAATAATAAAAGTAAATATAAACTGCTAAAAATATTGCACAAACTTCAGATCTTTCTCTCGATTACAAACTCTTTTTTATCAAATCTATAATCGATTAGTTTTTAATAAAAGTTTTATTAATATTTTTTTACCATTTTTATATAATTATAATAGTCATTTAACATTTCTTTATTAAAATTGTATTAGAATAAAATCAACTGGATTAAAAAAGGTATAAAACTTATTTGTATTGTCTACATGTAGATATGTTATCTTTAAAATTCGTACAAATTTTTGCGTTCTTACAAGTTGAAGTTATCAATGCTTCGACATCGGGGCAAATGTCGCGTGTTTAATCTGGCCTTCATAATCTATCGACAAAGACACGTAATACCCGAGAACAAAACAATATATAAAAACATACGAACCTGCTTCTAGGACTAAGCACTGTTCCAACTTCTGATGCTTGATGGTGATATCCCGTTCCAACTCCCACACGTCTGCCCGTACCCATTGAAATTGGCTGTGACACTGCATGATCTGTGAAGGACAAACGTACGTGACAATATTTGCGTAGATTACTTGTGTAATTCAGAGCCATCTCTCTTCAAGAAAGAAGAGTTGGCACGATTCAAGTTAGAGTCCTAACAGTGGTGAACCACTTCCCTTCGATCGATTTGTGTAAAAACCGAGAAACCAATTTTTCGTCCTTAGATGAGTTTTTCCGTGAGATACCTTGGCATATATTTAAAGCTCTTAATCGAACTTGAAAATCATCGAAAAACCTCTATCTAATTCTAACGGTTAATCAAATTAAATATAGGATGTATAAATGATGATGAATAATAGTGTTCGATGTACAAAAAATCCGAGTGTATATGAAGCTTCCGACACAGCTGCGAGTCAATACAAAGGAGGATCAATAGATACAAATATATACATATAACAAAGTTCTCCCTCCAACGTACACACGGAATATATATCGCCGAGAAATGGTCTAGTCATAAAATTTATATACGATTTCGCAACAATTTTTATTCGAATTTTACATTTCCACGCGCTTTTTTACCATGCATAATTATATTTCTGTTTTATAAAAACAGACGCCAAGAAAAATGTGAATAAAAAGATTCGTCTTTTAAGACGAAAAGACGACACGTTACGAAATTTTCCGAAATTTATTTAGAACAGAAGTGATCTTTATTTTCTATAAATTCAGAAAACCGTTCATTGCGATTGTATTGGATTATAAAATCACAAATTTTTTTCGTTGGCTTCGATAAAGCGGCGCGGAGTGAGAAATGCAAAGAATCTTAAGACACTTTGGGAAAATAAGCCCCTCGATGACTCGATTATGATTCTAGGACTGTATTTGATTTGGACGCTCATGTTCTTTAAACTTGTAATCATCTTTATCTGACGTTTATTAGACGCAAAACAGAGGGATGGAAGTGTTAATAACGCTAAAAGCGTCCAAACCAAATGTAGCTTAGATTTCGAAAGATATTTTGATAAACCTAAATCGTTGGCAAATCTAAATCGTTCACACTCGTGTATATGGATAAGATCTATTTCAACTCTGAATCTAACGACGAGTCTCTCCAGCGAGGGAATTCTATCGATATGAAAGGACTGGAAAAACAGAGAGAACAACAGACGGAATTTATTCAAATAGCAATTTGCTACCGCCGAGAAGCAGCTGCGACCATGAGCATTATCGAACGAGATTCCGTTGAGGGCTCCCGTATAGATAGAAAAGTTTTTTCCGCCCTTTCACGCGCGCGGCCCCATATGACGCCAATACAACAGTGCGGCAGCCCAGGTGGACGATCGGGGTTGAGAGGGTTGGTGGTCGGTCGGGGTGCTCGCTAACGGGGTGGATCAGTAGGTACGATCCTGACGTTGGGACGTTGCCCCTACTGCCGCCTCTGATGCCGGGCGTCTGTCGCCATGGCAACAGCCGCGTTGCACCCATCGCAGTGTGACGCACACACGACGGCCACCATCACCACCGCCGCCACCACATCCACATCCATATCCGCATCCACATCCGTATCCACACTCACATCACTGTTGTATCCACGTCGATATGAGTATACATACATACATGTTCACAGCTACAATTATGACATCCATATTCACATTAACATCCTAATCCGCATTCACCGCCACAAGCACAGCCACAGTTATAGTTGCAACCATAGCCGCAGCCACAGTCACCGCCGCCACCATACCATTATGTATACCTCGCACTTGTAAAAAATCAGATGTTTCGCGCATACCCGGTGTATACATCGCGTAAGTCTTAATATCATTAAATACGCATTAATTTGATATTTATTAAATTAAACAAATCACATATGATACTTGTGTATTCAGAATTCAGAGACATTTGTATTTGTGGCATCAATAAAAGAATAAAAAAAAATAATTGCGCAATCTTAAAGTAATCGATAAATGTATCTAGATGAATCTATCCGATTTAAAAGTGTATACTGATTGTAAATGTAACAAGTGTCAAAATGTATGCGATGCTCGGTGTGCATGAATATAATAATACATTCGTTCGACGTGTTTTTTTTTCTGTAAGAATTTCTTAAATATGCATAAAATCTAAATATTTACATCTTTTCCATATCTCGTAACTTTAAAGTTCATTCATTCAAACTTAATTCATTAAAATCGAAAGATTCACTGAATACTTCAAGCTTTTTCATATTTTATAAACTTTTAAAAAATTTAGAAATACATAGTAATTAAATAATAAAATTTGAATATACAATTACATAAGTATACAAATAAATACACTTATATATAAATTTATATAAAAATTATATATAAATATTTTCAAATATTTTAGTTTTTCAACTTTTACAGAAACTTTATATTGAGAGAGAGAGAGAGAGAGAGAGAGAGAGAGAGAGAGAGAGAGAGAGAGAGAGAGAACTAGTAAGAGAATTTGCAATTTCAAAAACCAAATCTCACAATTCACACAATAAACGTTCATTATGTATTAGCATCTGGTAACATTTAACATGTAACATATGCAAGCAATTTACACATTAATCATTACAAGCAATCTGATGTGCGTTAGAATTAAGACATCAATAAAAAGGAATTTCCTGCAAAAAAACTTCCCTATACATTTTAAAAGCAAATCAAGAAGTATGTGTTAGTACATGTATATGTACGTATATGGGTATACTTCCGTTTATTAACGTATCACGTGTTTAATCGATCAAACGAATTATCTGGTAGCTAAACCAATTACAATATCGCACGAAACGATGGTACCAAGCTATCAAGTATAATTATGATTAAATATTAGAGATAATAATAATTATCTTTGGAAATTGACGGGCACCTAAATATATTAAGATTTTGTAAAAATCTCTATAAAATATTTTTTTCATATTCAAATAAGACAAAAAATTTTCTCTAATATTTCTACCTTTTAATTGGCAAACTTGTTTAAGTTATAACATATTTTTTAAAATACATCAAAAGATCAAAACATAAAATAATAAAATAATCCTATTTCGAAAGAATTAAAGTAAAAATGATATAGGAGGAGCTTTCAAAATTATTTTCAATTTTAGTCGGTGTTGTCATTTAATCGATCGAGTGCGCTGTGAAAAAGCTTGGTTCTACCCCCTTCACTCCCTTCTAACCCACCCCTCAACGGAAGGCGATGGCGGCGGCGAACGAGTTGCGTATATGTATCTACATGTTGTTCTTTTACTGCTGTATCAATCAATAAGCTTGTACGACGTAAAATACGCGGCATCGCTTCGTATCTCATATTTCTTACCCGGATACATCGCCTTTTGCAAACAGAGACATCGGTCTATGATCGATCGACACATACGTCTAACACCGAAAGCGATTTTTCTGGCCCAGTTTGACAACCTTCCTCTGTTAACAACTGTTAAACTAACAACCAAGCATCCAACGATTCGCGCCATTAAAAGATCCGATTCAACTAGCACAATTTGATTTTTGTAAATTAAGTAAGAAAAATCCTATTTTAAAAAAGTAAATCTTACACTGAGAGAAAAAAATGGTTGTAATTACTATAATTTAACTATACTTTATAGTTACTTTTTTTAACAATTATATATTTATAATTATTTTAACAATTGCAAATATATAGTCAATTGTGCTATTAATAATAGTCACACAGACTGTTTACATATCTTTAGTTTTGTCTTAATATATTTTTTTAATTATTACTACCACATAAATGGAAATGAATTGAAGAAAAACATTATTATATTCATTAAAATTGCGACTACATTTACTAAATAAAAATGTTATTTTTATTTACTACTTATATTTGGATATTTCATTATTAATATTTAAAATTATAATTTATAGAATAATTTTTTCATGTTTGAAAGAATATCATACATTATTATTATTATTAACATTATAGCAATAAAAATCAGCTACTAACCATAATTATTTTACCATGCAATTATAATTACAACTACCAAACTTTTCTCTCAATGTAGCGCATAAATTTTTTGAAGTGAATTTAAATACAATTCTGCAAACCGCACGTCGAAATAGCTATTTTTTTTTTAAACGCAATCATGAACAGAATTAGAGTAGTAATATTATATAATTTATTAGTATCAATAATTAAATTGCCAAGCAATTTAATATTGATGCTAATAAATATCTTATACGAATATTAATTTGATGCTAAAAGAATCTGAAAAACTGTGAATAATTAATTGCGAAAAATATTACCTCAGCTGGGATTTGAACTCTGATCTCCGATTGATTTTTAAATCATTAGTGCTACTTGAAGCAAGTAACGCGTGAAAAAGAAATATCATGCTGTAGGAATACATGTGCTGTAGGACAGCATGGAAATTATTTGAAATTATCATCGTTGTTACTATAACAATTTAATAGCGTGCTATTGCACCAATGGTGCTGTGTACTCGGATTTAACCAGTGTAGGCGTTCTGCGTCGACTGTTTGCGGCCCTTGTGCTTAACCAAACGGTTTCGATTACTCTACTCGACCATGCTCGAGCTTCGTAAGCACTTCCGTCGTCTGTGTCGATCGAAATCCCACTAACGGACGATGCATCGGCAATGTGATTGCGCGCAAATCGTACCTGACGTCGTACTCCAGGTGGAATCTCGCCACATGGTGGTCGGGTGGTCGCCCAGGTGAAGCAGGGTCCCACCGCCTTTTACACCCCCTTCGTCCTTGGAGCCACCCTCGTCCACGCCCCAGAGCTTTTTTGTCGAGGGAGCGATCTGAAACATGAAAAAACAGAACAGGTCGTGAGCCTCTGGAGGTCAGTGAACACGCTGAAACGTGTGTGTTGACACGAAACTCCCAAGAGTTATCTCTCTATCTATCTCTCATCTTCCTCCCTCTGCTGCATAAAGGGATACGAGGAAGCGCACCACTTACATTAGAAAATTAAAAGTTCTCAACAAGATTAACGGTTTCGTAATGCAGTACTCAGTCTATTAACGCATCAGTGAAATTCTGCTTCCGTGATAAGTGCGATGTAATTAACATCGCGTCCCACTGACCCATCGTGCACGCGCACACACGTTCATATAACTCTGTTCTTGAAAATATATATTTACGCTGTATATTTCGGAACGGGGATAATGTTTCAGGGACAGATGCCGCTCCAAATCAATACCTCCTGTTGACGCAGTTGTCAAGGTATCATTTACGAATGATAAGTCCATACGTTTCTACAAGAATAAAATTCGTGAAAACTAGAAGATTTGTAAGAGAATCATTTGCAATGCACATCGCCATTATGTATGTTACACTTTCGTTTAATTTTGCTAATAGCTCTTTATACTATCAAAGAAAAATAAATTTCATGGATTTTTAATATGTATCATATTAATTCTCTTCATATATTGAATTATAACGTTAGAAATAATAAATTTAATAAACGCTTTCTTCTGAGTATCGTGCTTTAAAATAAACAAATATTTCCATCATCTTCAAAATCATTTATCAAGAATTTATTTCACAAACCTTATCTATATTTGCCTATTCCTTATAAGCGTCTGATAATAGCTACCAAACGTTGGATAAAATAATTCTAATCAAATGTTCAGTTAAATAATCAAATATAATTTCACTTTTTTTCAAATAATTAGTAATATTAAACAATTGGTAATATTATTATGTTTTGTAATATTTACTAAATGTTTAGAAAAGTAAAATATTTTTTGTTATATTAACCGGACATTTGATTGGAATTATTTCAGTTAACATTTGATAGTTACCAGACTCTTTTTCCAGTATATATATGTATTATTAAAAAATTTCTCTAAAAAACTTCCGTGTAAGATACGTGCATCCATATGTCTAATATTTTGTTCAATATAGATAAGATATTCTGTCTGACGTAAAATGTCTGAGCTCTCTGAAACTTGACGTTCAAATTATAGGTTCGGTTTCCGAGATATCAACTTAACCGTGAGTGTTCGACTCTAAAGTGGATAAAGGCGAATCGTGACCTGGAGCCCGCGCGCTGCACTGATCCCGACCTCGCCTAACTGAATGCTAGTGACGTAACCTCCGCGGGAAGGTGAGGACAGGAACTAGCGCTCGCGGATCGCAGGACACGAGTGCACCGAACGCATGATGCGACAGCGAGTTCAAAGTCACGATACATCATTCCTCTACTTACAATTGAAGAAATCGTACTAATTTTACTTTTCACAATTTACAGAGCAATTCCGTTTCTCGCAAACGACTGGAACTTATAAAACCGAAATAACAGAAACTGAACTCAATTCGGAAAAAATATCGTGAAGAATTAATTTCTTCACAAATGAATTCAGGACATCACCTTTTCTCTTTTTCCTAAAAAAATATTTCACGATTTCGGAATCTAGAGACGCGTGGAAAAACATGAAATCCATAAATTTATCGTCTTTTTTTTATTATAAATTAAAATGATATGTGTGTGTGTGTGTGTGTGTGTGTTTATTCGTTTTCTTACATGCTTTGTAAAATTTATTTAATTACACTACAATGGAAAATATGCAGATGATAGAATGAAATTCACAGGCATAATAAAAAATTTAGATTTTACTATAACGGAATTTGAGAAATTTGCACTAAAGTAAAACTGAAAAATTGGAGCAATAATAACTGCCATTCACATAAAAAATCTTATGGAGTTACAAAATACATATATTTTTATACGTATATTTTAATTGTAAAATTATAATAATAAATGTAGTAACTGCACGCGGATACGTTATGCATATTTTTTATATCCAATATTACAATCTATTAAAATACAGACAAGTAATTATCTCTCCATCTAAACTGATCTAGTATTTAACTGGAGAGATGGAATTAAATTTAGTATAAAAGTCTTAAATGTATTTTAGTAATGCAGAGATTAATAGAGCCTATATTTTTGTTATAAATCACATATACATATTTATTTGACGATTATATAAAAAATAATAACATTTATAATAATATAATAGCAATACAATCTAAAATAAAGTTAATTAAATGTGAATTAAACAATTAAACTATAAATAAAGTTAAAAAATCTTAAAATTTTTTAATTAAAATTTTACGTCTCTTAAAAAAAAATTGAATTAAAAATTATATATAAAATGTCATGTCTATATCATCACTATAGAATACAGTTAATTTGCAACTATTTGCAATAAATTAAATTTCACATACTATAAAATTCTTCTCATGTAACAAATAACTTTATCATTGTCAGAGATGTAAATGACAAACCGTCCGAAAAAATCATTATCGAAATAAAAAAAATATTCCGAAGTTTTTATTTCTATAACTTTCTGATACTAGGCTAAATTAATTCCACGATAACCGATTATTTCAATTAAATTAAAGACGAATCAATAGCAATATGCGAATACAGTAAACTCGAACGTGTCATTGCGAGTCTGGAAACCGGTCGGACATCCCACGAGAGAAAAGACCGTCTAAAAAGAGCGATAGCGACTGGCGTGCCAATGAGTTCGAAAGCAAATCTCCTTTTTGGCCTTGTCATTGAGCAATATTATTAGCGGCAGATTCACTGATCTAAGTAAAATAATCTGGTCTCGCTTAAGACCAGATTAATAAATTCTTTCAAAATATTCATCCCTTTTTTTAAAAGTATACACATATAAATATCAAATTGTTTTAAAAGTTCTCACATATTTTTCTGTAAATCTTTGTATAAAAATAGATATGCAAGAAAAAAATTAATCGTTACTATTACATTTATTTTTATTCCCTATATTTCCTTTAAAAAATTTAATGGATTTCGGATAAAAAAGATCTTTCATAACGCGTATTTGGAATAATAGTTAAAAGATTAAATGCTAACAAAAAGATAATTTTATCAAAAAACAAGTTTGAATTCACAGACATCGAAGGTCCCCATAAAACTCATTTACATTGTCAACAATCTATAGCTTCCCTATATCAAGTTCATTTCATTCAATCAGTATTTGTTATGCCTTATTTGTTTGTCCTGCTTAAATCCTGTAGATGCGAATTATTTAAGTTTATTTAATTTTTATCTTGTATATTGGTAATATTCTCTTTTTCCGTTTCAATTATATTTTTAATTCTATTCATTTTAAACATTGACTATCTTACGGATTGTAATTTCGATATTTTTTTTATTATATTCGTGAGATTCTACATGGTGAATTCAAACTGTTTTTTGATAAAATTATCTTTTTGTTTACCTATTCAGCATTTAATCTTTTAACTATTATTTCAAATACGCATTATGAAAGATCTTTTTTATCCATTAAATTTTTTAAAGGAAATATAGATTAACCAGTAAAAATGATATGAGGAATAAAAATAAATATAACTGTAACGATTAATGTTTTTTGATGGAGTTATTTTTAATTTTTTTAATTTGTCAATTTTCACATGCGTCGTTTAATTATATAATCTTCAGTATATCCTGAAGTCCTTCCCACACGCAGTTGGGTCAACGACATGTGAGCAATACTTTGACCAACATTGGAAATGATTCGTCACAACCCATTAATGGACTTACTTCAGGAATATGTATTTTGCGAGGAAGGCTCAAAACGTGAGCTGAATATGTAATCGTCGAAATGTGAATTGCCCTTTTTTTTGTTATATTAAAAATATATTACATCAGGTTTTTAAAAGATTTTTATGCGATAATTTCCGCGCTTGGCTCTTAGCGCTCTTACCTTTTATTTAACCAAAATGATAATTTTAATAACACTTTTAGGCTCATTAAGGCCGCAGATTATTTTTCGTTTCTGAATAATATTTTATTATTTAATATTTTAATATTTGATAAAGCTAAGTCATTAATTGCCTCAGATTTAGCAAGATATTTGTTTTCTATGGATTCTTTGAAAAATCAATGTTTCTTTTGTAAAGAAAGAAAAGAAAATGAGTTACTATTATAAATATGTAATTTTCATTATTACCTACATAAAGAGTTAATTCGAAAATTGGAGGAAATAATCAAGTCTTCCTCCGTAATTTACAAAATTTCACTTATTGCTAGTTTCTTGTACTTTTTTTGGAAAAAGAAATTCTTCAAATGTTTCCGATTCCTTTCTAGAAAAATAACTATCGAGAGATACCAGCTGGGTACGTCGCTATATATATCGTTGCTTCGTGTGCAGGCGGAAGAGCGTTACGGCGAAATGATGCGAGGAACGAGGTGGTGGATCCGTCTAAAGGTTCGGTAAGGTAAGGGTAAGGGTGAAGCTCGGTCAGCCTCGGGGGCGATACGCCGTGAGTATCGACCGCGTCGACGGTCGCCAGAGACGCTTTTGTACGTTAAGCGCAAATGGAAAGAGAGAAAGGGAGATCGGGAAGAGAAACGCATGGCACCAAATGAGAGGGAGACGGATATAGAGAAAGAGAGAGAGAGAGAGAGAGAGAGAGGGATAGGGTGAAGAGGTAAAGAGCAAAATAAACGAAGGTAAAGGCCGTTTTGCGCAAAGTAATTCGCGTCATTCAACGAACAAAATGATATCTCTCAATAAAAAAAAAGGACTCATTGATTGTAAGGTCGAAAAAATTCTGCCTTATATTAATCAAAATTTTCAGATTGTACTCTAAATTCGAGTTTGAAAATATCTTCAATTTTATGTTTTTCGGCTGACGAAAAGCAATTAAAAATTTTTTACAAGTTTTCTGAGGTATCTTGAAAATAAAGTAAAAATAATATTGTAGGGGAAGATGAGAAATATAGTGTCTCATAAAATATGTAATATAATTTGGAAAG